TGGTCGTTATTTCCAATGTTGCAAATTGCTCGCACACGGCGTGTACACGGATTTGTAAGCGCATGGGGGGTCTACACACGTAAACGAACAAAAAGCATTAGGTCTCACCTCATCCGGCACCCATAGTTGCGACGCTACGCGAAGGGCGGGTTGCGGGGCCCTCCCCAGAAAAGTTTTAAAATTACACCCCTCAGTGCGTTTCTGCGCGAGCAAGGGGGGTTCGGACTCCTGGACCCCCGCCTGTACCACGCCCCTCGCTCGTCCACAGCACTCAGGCGAGGAGCCAAGCGACCCGAGCGGGGGAGGGTGGGTTCGGTAGGGGGGTGTTAAAACTGTTCACCCTCCGCGCACGATGGGAGATTTGCCAATATAACACTAAAATTAGCTGACCTAGGTAAATTCTTGGCAAATTTTCAAAAAAAAAAAAAAATTTTTGCTTGGGGAGAAAGGGGACTCGACGGGGTTCGTTAATATCGAACCCCCGACCCCCGCTGGCTATCGAGGCCTGATGTTCATGATGTGGTCTCGCTCCAGAATGAGAACTTAGGCCCAAGGATAGAGAACATGGGTCCCAAGTCAAACCAATGGCAATTCTGCCTAACCCTAAACCCTAAGTCTCTCATCTCCCCTAACCTATACGCATAAACCCCTAACCTATTAGCGAGGGTCCCCTACGTTGCGCAAACGGGGCGCGCAGGCGCATGCCATTTGGGAAACCCCGCCGGTTTCATTGTTGCGGCACCGCTTTAAATTACTCCGCCCCGTATTAAAATTCCACCACAATAAAAAGTTTCCAGCGAGGGAAATCGATCGTCAAGAATTCCCATTCAACCAGACACCCGGTCGCGTGTATTTTTCACGCGTGCCAATCGCAGCACTGTAGACAATACACAAGAAATCAATACAGTCAACCTGTCCTACACCTAACACTAACTTGTACACCGACTCGGCTATCTATAATACAAGAACCCCAAAATAGCCGTCTATTGGTTGTGTGAAGATTAGCGCATTAATTAGTGTAGCGGTAAAAAACACGCCCCCGGACCCCCTAGTTCCCCCCCCCCTTACCTCCCTCTCTCCCCCTGATTTGAATTCATCCTGGGGAGAACGCCTGGCCTATGAAAATAGTTATTTTATATTATTAAAACACATTGGTTTTTATTGTGGACCCCGCATGTTCCTATCCGTGAACCTTGTTTTTGCACTGATTACGTAACGGATAGAAGCAATATGGGTCCCGATAAAACCAAGCCAGGCCCAATGGCAAGGTGCCTGCCTATTGCGTGCACCGGCTATACGCACGGCTTGGGTGATAGAAAAGGATACTAACTATTATATCTTCCAAAGGAGTTGAGTTACATTTCTGGAAATCATAAGGAATATAGACAAATGTCTTAGCTATAATGTCTGTTAATTTTCAGTTTGTTGAAGCACGATTAGTCTAATTAATTACCAAATATATGCGAACGGTATCGCGCATAGGCGCCTATTGCGTGCACCGGCTATACGCACGGCTTGGGTGATAGGAAAGGATACTAACTATCATATCTGGCTAACGAGTTGAGTTACATTTCTAGAAATTTAGATGAATATAGACACATGTCTTAGCTATAATCTCTGTAAATTTTCAGTTTGTTGAAGCACGATTAGTCTAATTAATTACCAAATATATGCGAACGGTATCGCGCATGCATACTGACGTGCGTGCAGCCGGCTGCTAACCGCTCGTGGCGGCGGCGGCGCTAGTAATGCCCCTTTTCCTATCCCATGACGCATTGCTGTTCCGATTGGCGATAAGGCTTATGGCAATGTGCCTGGCCCTGGGTACAGTTTTACACAACTCACAAGTATTGGTCTGCTTCACATGCACGCAATTAATCATTTCAAACGAATTACTCGTAAACTACTGTATCCAAAGTCATACATACCCCTACACGTATTGCCAATTACATCATCATAACGGAAATACGTCTTTATATGGAAAACGCGTAAATACCGTCAATGAAATAAGAAAACCACAGCCATATTGAAATAAATGGCAAACGGTCTAGACGGGTTCACTGTATTTTAAATATAGTGGTAGAATGTACAAAATGACCACGGTACCAGTCTACAATCGTTCTCGCTGGAAATGTAATATCAGACACGGAAAGGCACTCTTACAGTGCTTTCAAAATTGTTTTTGATTAACCCATCTAGCAATAATCATTCTGACAAACAAACTAATAACGATATAACAATTTTATTATGTGTTTAACAAATTTGTATAGATACAACAATTTTTTTTACTAATTTTGTGCATGTATGTATCCGAGTTGGCCGGATCGGATTTCCGATTTTAGTGTCGACCAAGCTTGGTACGCTGTTGCATAGACTAGTACCCGCCGACTACCCGGTCCCACCCCTCGGCTTAGGATCACCCATCGAGTAATCGAGGTGGGAGCGAGTACCAGTCTAACTGGTGCATAGCCTGGTGCCATCTACATAAATATTATTTGAACTATTATTTATCGCGGCATGTTGTGAGTTTTTGCATTATCTCAATCTAATCCCACACACAAAACGAAAAGAATAGTTGCATGCGGTGAGAATCTGACCGCATGTGAGATCAGTGTCAACCTCAACCAGAACGTGATCTTATCTTATCTTATCTTATTCAGCTGTAAGATACTTGTAATTGTATAGAAGCTTGGCGTCCAACGAGTGTTTAGATAGGAACTCATTTTTTCCCAAACTAGTAGGAGTAGGACTCCGGAGTCCGAGTAGGATGCCAGCAATACATAATTATAATATTATAATAACGTACTGTGTGTTTATTTTTCTATTTGATAGGATAACAGTCACCTTTTCATAATGCTGAGGATAGCAGCATTGAATGAGACGTCGAATGAAGAGGAGAGTGATGAGGAGCTAGAAGTGGTCAGAGAGGAAGCATTGGTAAGAAAGAAAGGTTATTTTCATTGTCATTGACATTGGTCTACACTATCAAAAAGTACAAAGATCCGTTCATCTCAAAAGCTAAACAGTAAACTATAAAATGATTTATAGGGAAAGGAATTGGTCTATTTCTGTTTAAAATATAATATGCTTATTAGGGACAATAATCATAACGGCAAGGTTATTATTATAGAGGTTTAGCCTTCCCATTTTGACGATCTATAAGGAAAATGCTAGATTCTATAAATATTTGATGTAGTGTTTCTTGTTAATTCATATCTTTAGGCACAAGAAGTTCATGCGGTGTACGAGAATGCTTTGCGATTTATGAGAGCAGGTCAGATAGAGGATGCCCAGGCTGCCTTCATCCAGCTGCTAGAATCTGACTTTCTACAATACGTAAGTGTATCTAATAGATCCATGTACTGCTGAACATATATGCTGCAAACAAATTGCTGTTTAGTAGGTTCCTGTAAGAAGGTGTAACTATGCGTAATACGTTTGGTATATGAAACACACACACGTACTTATCAGTGGACTGAAAGAAAGTTAAATTCCAAATAGTGCGTTCGATTTGCTTCCCCGGAGCCACCTGGGTTAACCTGGGTACGAAATCGAACGCATCTGGGTTAGGGAAGATAAACGAACGGTTTTTGGGTTAACCCGGGTTAATTATCATGGATGCCAGTGACAAGAAAAAAAGAATAGCAATTGCAATCTTATTATTAATGAAATCTAAGAATGAGCGGCTCAAGGATAGAGAGCATGTCCAGTAATAAACATCATCCTATCCACTCGCCGTCCTTGAGCAAACGCACGCAGTCATTCACACTGCTACATTCATGCAGCACTGATCCCGCACTGATATCATTGCCATGCATGGTGTCGTTGCAATGGATTGTGGGATACTTCCCCAAGCCCCTCCCCCAAGTGAGCGGCTCGGCAAGCGGGTTAATTACTTCGTCCTCACCCAGGTTGACCCAAAATACCACGTGACTGCCAAATCGAACGTATTTGGGGCTGGCCCGAGTAGACCCAGGTTAACTTGGGGAAGCAAATCGAACGCGCTAAAAATTGACAAGCAGCGCTTTTGTTTGACTTGGATGATATAAGTATAGACAGGAAATTTTGTAATTTCATTGATAGCAGTTGTGTTTTTAATTTTATAACAGAGATTTACATATACACCTTACCTGAACTTATGTACCACAGGTGACAGAAGAGAACATAAAAAGATCTGACCAGGAAGCTATTAAATTACGTCTTAAGTATTCAGTGTGCAAGAATCTTGGGTCGATAGCAAGCCAACAGGACATGTATGAATCTGCTCTGGAGTATTACCTACAGGTGAGTCACAAGCTGCGTTCACACGAGGATTTTAGTTCCGTATTTAAGCGTTCACACGCTAAAATATACGCGGCTTGCTTAGCCGCGATTGCTCCGGCTTGCTTAGCCGCGATTGCTCCGGCTTGCTTAGCGCAGAATCATATTCTGCGCCAACTAAGCCGCGTATATTCGGCACCACGCTGGCCGCGTATTGTTTGTCGTGTGAACGCATTCGAATTGCGAAACTGTAGCGCTCTATAACCTAGACGGCTACCCGTTCGCTGCACGACGTTAGGGTAGCGTGTGGAACTGTCAACCGGGTACCAGTCTATATTATACCTAGCTAGCTAAGCCTCGAATCTCGTGTATCTCGTGTGAACGCATTTTAGCTCGAACTTAGCACCAACTAAGTACGGTACCAGCTAGGCCGTGTATACGTGTGAACGCAGCTATAGTAATTATACTCTACTGCAGTATATATAGTGTAACATAGTTATATGTATGTATGTATATATATATATATATATATATATATATATAGAGAGAGAGAGAGAGAGAGAGAGAGAGAGAGAGAGAGAGAGAGAGAGAGAGAGAAAAGACAGAGAGAGAGAGAGAGAGAGAGAGAGAGAGAGAAAGAGAGAGAGAGAGAGCGAGAGCGACATAGAGACATAGAGACAGAGAGAGATGTGCGAGCATGCGTCAGTTCTATAAGTGTCTGTGTGTACGTGCATACGTATATACCATCAGTGAATACTGCCTGTGTTTTCTGAATATAGCTCATCCACTCTTGCTATCTGAAATTATGCATATCTGTGCTAGATGTGTGTTTACATGTCTCTGACTGATCTCTGGATCACTTTCGTCTACTTGATATGTCACCTGCCATGCATCTATCTGCATCTTCAAAAGCATCCGTGTGACCTGCATTTTGACACTCATCTGTTAGCTCCTAATCTTTGCACATTGGCTATTTCGCATCTTATTCTGCATATATATGTGATCTCTATGTTCACATAAATATGTCCAATCTGCATTTTTAGCAGGCACTTGTCTGGGATGTTTCAGGCTGTCAGCTTAGACTCGTCAGATGTCATTCTGTGGTTTGACACAGGACAGGTCGCGCTAAAGCTGCATGACTACACCGTCGCGAGAGTGACGTTTGAGGAGGGTCTGCAGCGTAACTCTTCCTTCTGGCCATGCCTGGAGAACCTCATACTTGTGCTGTATGCACTTGGAGACTTTACCTGTAGGCATCGAATATTACTCTTGCCGTGCTTCACTCAATATTCTTCTGTACTATCATGCACTAAACTGAACTCATAACTCACATGGTAATGTGGCGTCTATAGAAATTATATGAAATTGTGGATTCCACGGTACCTTCGATGCTGTCATAACTCCTGCTACCATTGAGTGACAACCAGATGAGACGGAATACTAGAAAAGCGTTGCCGAAAGGAGGTGTTGATCCAAAGCGCTGAGCGCAGATCTTGCGCGCAGTTCCGCGGCAAGGCGCACGCGACTTAACCCATATTGGCTTATATTTAACTTTTAACCTATGCGATATACCACATTAATCTAGCCCGATAATGCGTGAACAGTAGCGTGCTCACGTGTATATCCATCGACTCACAGTCTCTCTATGATATTACCCGCATAGGATCTGGATTGGTGTGGTATTTCAGCTTGTCTGTGCTACATCGCCCAAGCACTGGAGCACGACTACACATTCTTGCTGGGTCTCGTCATCAAGAACAAGATTCTGGAAGAAGATGCGCTCCTGCGACGGGAGTCCTTCGACTGGTTCCGTAAATGTGATCAGCGCGTGCACGAAGCATTGCCACACAGTGCAGACGTACAGGAGGTGAGGGTCAGAAGACTTGCTTGTAGAAGTTCGTTCGAGCAGTGCGTTGATGGTGAAGTCTGATGCGAGGCCGACGCTAAAGTTCGAATCGTGACTGCAGCTGCCGTGAATTTTACAGCATCTGTGGCCGGCGTTTTTTTCCCCAGTTGTTACAGGGCTAATCAAATTGTGTGCTTGTACCTTGCGTGATCTGTGTTAGATTGCAACCCCTACACGACATGATTTATTTGTATCTGCGACGTTGACAGATACTCGAGCAAGCAGAAAACTTCCGCAAGGAGAGGAGGAGGCAAATAGTTGAGAGTAAGAGCCAGCCAATGCCGGAATCCAGCCTTCTAAAACCTCTTGGATCTCTCACGTGGCAAAATCTTGGCCAGGCGCTAGCGGATCTTTACGATTTTATCATGACCAATGATCAGTGCAACCTGGTATTTATTTATTTGTGCATTATTTTGGCAAGCAGTATACGAGTAACTGAATAAAATTCCCATGTTATCAGATCAGAACAGGTTTAGCAATAATACACGGAAATATAGATAATAGAATATAAATAGATCAGTACAGGAAATTTTCAATGTTATCATGTAATGTGTGAAGCATAATAACCATTATTATGTTATTTTTTCATCGAACACCACTACAGAACCATTTTTGCATGGTCTTCACTCTCTTAAAGTTTATAACAACTTCATAAGTCAGTTTATAGTTCATCATTAATGGAATGTTATGCATTACTGCAGAACCTGGCATGTAAGGTGAAGCTGAGAGAAGAAGCACCTGCAGGCCCCAACATATCCACTGTGACATCTGTACAGGCACAAGAAGAACAAGGTATAGCATGGTGGGGGAATGAACCAGAAATTTAAAATAGGCTGATGGGTAGCAAATGTGATTATAAGGGATCCACCTGGATATAAAAATGTAATTGCTAATAAGTGAATCAATAAGCTTTCATCCCTTTATTTTACTTCTGTTTTTTTTATTGTAAAATTAACTGATTTACCAAAAATATATTAAATAACCTGAAAATATATACTGGGTGCAGCAGTTGTGATTGCTGATGAGCACACTACATAGCAGCTAAAGGTACACTCGTAAACTCTATGACATGACAGTGCTGTGTTGATGTAGCACCTTTCTTATCTAGAAATCATCTTTGAAACCACAAGACAAATTTAGTTTCATTTGCTCATCTACAATAGATTGGCCTAATGTGGCACAGTATCTATTGTTAGCATTTGCATTTTGTGTTATGCTACTGTGCTGCTGCAGGTGTAGCAGAAGATAAGTGTGAGGGTACAGCCAATACCATCAATGAAGCAGCACCAGCAGTCGGAGAGAAGGTCACGGGAAAGAGCTGTGACGCCGACGAGAAATCTAATGCAGGGTTGGAGAAGGGTGATAGTTACAGCGTTCCATATGCGTCAGAGTGTGAGGACTCTGGTAGGTTATTTACTAATCCTAGTAATAGTGTATGTCTAATCCACTTGTAGAACTCTCTGTTGTATGTAAAGGACAGGGTTTGGATATAAAGTGAGAATAATATAGTTCCTAATCTGCTGTGGATTTTAGTACAATTTTGTAAACGCGCATCAGCCAAACTAATTGATTGTTCAGAGAACGCATGTAGTTCTAATATTTTATTTTGTATTTCAGCCACAGATGCTGATAATTCAGCAGTAGCATCGCCAGTTGGCACACCCGGGCATAAAAAGCCTGCCGCCCGAAAAAGAAAAGGCTCGGAACGGTTCCCTTATCACTTTGTGGATGACCTTGGGAAGAGGCGATCAGCAAGAGTTAGTGCTTAAAATTCCTGATTAGAACTGGTTCTGTATTAAAGTGGTAAGAGAGAATAATTGTGTCAGTTTCGTGGTAGCAGACTCCATTTGTGATCTCGTGGTTTCCTGTATTGTCAGTATCCAATTTTACCATTTTGCTTGGCTTTTCTGATAAAGATCTTGTCATTCCATTTATTAATGGCAGGTGCGTAAAACAGTTGTGCAGAAACAACAGGAGGAGAGCATTGACTATGAGGAACTCCTAACAGATTTACTTCCTTCCACCCTCTTGTAAGTGAAAACGAATTTGTATGTATTTAGTAATGTTGTTATTCTATTTTATGTCGTGATAAGCCAGTGTAATTATATTACATTGAATCTATGTACATTGAGTATCCATGGTATTAGCTGTGTTAGTATATTGGCTTGATAGATCACATGGCACTTTTTATAGGAAAGAGTGTCAACAAGAAATTGACAGTAACATGATGGAAGTGCAGGGTGAGAAAAGTGGAAAAAGTGAAGTCTTTGCTGGTTTGAAGAAAGATGCCTCTATAGGCTCCATGGAGAATGAGAACACTGATGTTGAGACATTTATCCAAGAAAATGTGAACAACTTTGGCCTTGTCCATCTCATGGCGGATCTTTTAATCGCATTGTCCGCGAAGGCTGAGGAGCAGTGGTGAGATATAGCATGTAGAAGTAATTACCGATGAGTATGGGCTATGGAGAAGAAATTCAATACAGCATGTGCGAGATAATACAGATATAAAATACAGCCAGGAATATTAACTGTTGTGGGAGAGAATACTGGAGTGGCAATTATTATAGCACTATACAGTAAAACTCGCATAAGTTGTTATCGTCTAACTCGTCAATTCACGTAAGTCGACATGGAAGTCAAAGTCCTGGTTTCTTCTCATAATAAATCCATTGGAATTGCCCCACCTAAGTCGTCATTTACAAGCCGTCATTATGTGTAAGTCGGCGCTCTCAGACAGGTCCCATGTAATACAAACAACAGTAATTTCCTATCTGTAAGTCGTCGCTGTAACATCGCGCTATAACGGGGGCCGCACTGTATATATATATATGTATATAATATATATATATATATATATCACTAGAAAGCAGAGACGCAACCGAGAGATCATATTAATTATTCATGTAGGTATGAAGTCTGGCGAAATATTAGCTTGACCTACCAAGTCATCGAAATACCGGCTTTGTAAATCGCCAAAATGACGATATACACGCATAAGTCATCATTTTGGCAACTTACATATGAGTCGACAAAATATGTCGACACAAAAAGGCTGGTGCCAAAAGTGTCGACTTATGCAAGTTTTACTGTACCACATATCAGTGAAAAATTGATGTTCGTAAAACAGTAGCAGGTGGTAGAAATTAAAACTGTTTATGGAAGTTATAGAAACTTTAGTCTCTGTCCGTAATGTGTATGGGTTTGTTCAGAATGCAGGGTATAGCCTTAGTTTCATGATATTCTTCTGCAGGCCAGATGGTTTAACTCAGGTCTACATCTCAGTCTATGACAGAGTCCGGCTACATGTACAAAACCCTCCCTTATTCGCGTGAGTATTATTTGTCTGTAAATATTATTAAATAAACCTTATACTTACTATAAATGTTTGTGGAAAGGAGTCTTTGACAATTAACTACGACAATAATAATTATGGTAAATTTATTTTTGTTTCTCGTTTAAAATGAGGAAGCTTAATTGTGTGATTAGAGGTAACATGTAAATGATTATTTATAGCAATATTAAATCTACATCCTGAAGTTAGAGATGTGATTTATCTATTATTGATTTGTTAACTGATAATCAACAGTTATTTAGTGTAGAAGTCCACCTAGAGGATCTAATGTATCAATTACCTTTTCTAAATTTTTCTGGCTTATATATATGACCTTAAGTTTATACTCACTTACTACCTATATCTATTGAAACTTGTAATTACTAACCGTTTCCAATTTTCACCATTCGTAGTGAAGACACATACCTGCCGTCTGTGAAACAAATGGCAATGGTGAGTTTTAGAGTTTGGTATTCTAAACTTATTGTACGTTGAAGAGTACCAATATAGTTGCTATTTTTTATTATAGATGTATACACATGTATAAATATAATAGCTAGTGTACAGCTAGCTAACATTGGTTCTACATCTCTTCATATGTGGGCCATTTTGGTTATAGTATGTTTTTGATTTAGGTTAGCTTACTCGCGATGGAATTCAAAGTGGATGCAGCTATCATGGAATGGAAATCGGTGACCACCCAGCCACCGTCATCTTCCGGGTATTACAACTTGTTGACAACCAGTTTTACCTTTGTGTTATTACGATGGAATTTGATGCTGAATTCAGCACTAATACTAGCACTAAATTTGGATGTTGTAGGGACTGGGACACCCATCTTATCCATTTGCATTTTACAACTAAAAACTTGCACTGTGATTGCAATGTATTATTCAATAGCGGTGCTACTCACCGATTATTGATGTTTTGCAAAAATACATCGAACCCCAATTTGCACACCTACAATGTGACGTCTTGATTTCTGATGGTATCGATGTGTTGTATTAATAGTTTCATGTGTAGGATGATTTGAAGGTAGAGTTCTATCTAACAGTGTTCATATTTATTCTATGGTTGTGTCAGGCCAAACAAAGACGACTGCTTGGTCAACACCTTAGGTGAACACTTCACTAGAGATTTTGTGCACCTGCACCTGCTAGTTGGGTATACACCGGCATTACTCGAGGAAACGCTCACCTACTCGATACGCTTCTACTGGATGAAAGCCTGGTGGAATGTGAGCAAGGATGCAGTTGTCGATGCACTGGATAACCTTGAACTGGTACTAAGCATGTTTACGACCTTTACATTCTCAGTGTTTCCCCACTGCTATAAATACTATCTTGTTTTGTCATAAGTAGCTGTGCATGTTACTGCATACATGGTTTCATGTTGTTTATAAACAAGAATGCTGTATTTTCTTGCACGAATACGCATTCTGTGTTTGTTTTCGAGGCCAATAGAAATCTATTTTTTAGAGGCTGCTATTTCTTATTGCTAGTAGGTATATGCATTATCAGGATATTGTTTGAACGAGTTTCATGTTTTGGGTAGAGTGGAAAACAGGTTTCTATGAAAAATAATAGTAGATGCAATTTATAAATAACAGTAAACTTAAACACTTATTTTTGTACAAAAACCATTAATTTTTTAATATAGATTGTCCTATTATACCTAAAATTTATTGATGAAATACCATAATGCTACGTATGCTGATATAGTGCAGAAAAAGTTGTTTATTTCATTATAAAACGTTTTCACAAGATTTAATTTATGTCCCCATGCCAAAATGCCTTGAACAGTATATCGTTCACGTATGATCAAAGGGCTCTCGACATTAACGTGGATTTTTTTGCTAATTTAAACCAAGTCTTAGGTTAGACTCATAAGGTTAAGTATGTTAGAGACAATGATATTCTTAGCAAGAGTTTTTTTAAATTACTTCTCACGGTATCACGAACTAAAAATCGACGTTAGTTGAAATGAAGTTTGACAGAAGTGAATTTTTTCTGCGGAGAAACCTTTAATTCCCAACATGAAATTGTTTCATTGTGGCATATATCACTCATGTCATTGTACAAGTAGTAATTATTTTATCTGCTAAAACGTGTTACTGTATTGTATAGGCTGCTGAGGTCTTAAGAGAGGCATCAAGAGAGAGGTCGCCAGAAAATCCAGTTGTTATTTTGCTACCCAACTGCAAGCACAGCACTAAACTGCACATAAGTGAGTATCTGCATGAAATATATTACTTTTGTGCAAGGTGGCAAATGTTAGTCAGACCGAGCTAGATCCAATCTGTACACACATGATTGCAAAACAAAGCAAGTTAGTGTGGACTCCACTTTCCATGTCCTCAATCATGAAATCATATAACGATGGAACTCGTTTGTTGAGTGATTTAATAAATTGTGCGTGGCAACGAATTCGATACGTTGTCATGATGCATTTCATTAAGCCGTGGCATTCAATCTTGCAGGTGAATTGGAGCAGCATCTGGTGGACTTGGAAAAGTCGTACTCCATGAAGAATTTACAAGCCCTACAAGATGCTGGCAAGTACGCTGAAGTTGTGCAGCTACTGATGAAGTCCTACTCTGACCAGCACTACGGCATAAAGGTATTGTATACCGAAAAGTTGTTGACGTTGTATAAAGTATGATTAATACACGATTAACACCTTGAAATAAGTATATTGGAATGCATCTATTCTTAATATTTTCTCATGCGGAGATGTAACTGTGTGACGAAGCCTGACAATTGCAATCGCTTTTGATTATATCCATAAATGCCCCCATTAGCACTTATGTACATGCAACTTAGCTGACTGAAACCAAAATCGAAGATGTTATAATTAACGTGAAATTCACTAGTATTGTTCTAGTACAAAACCTTGAGTATGTCAAGGTTACAATGTTTTGTTTTTTAACTAAAATATATCTTGAGATGCATGGCACCACGGGAACAACGTTCTGCAGTAAGCTTCAGCCTACGACATTGGCTAATCGCAACTGTTCAAACACTGAAGGCTTTGCACAAGGACGCCGCGGATAAGCAGCGACACCTGCTGCTGCTGCAGCGTGCTCTGCTCAAGCTCGAGGACTACCGACAGTGCGTGGTGTGCGGTGAGCGGGCGACCGACGAGGCCTTGCAGGCTTATGTGTGCGCGGAGGAGGGAGAGGAGAAGTGCGGCTGGGCGGCCACCATCATCGACCTGCTGGCAAGTCTTGACAGGTAGAGCTGTGTTGTTTGTTTGTCCGGTGTCCGTTGACGTCCTTCCCCGAATGATGCTGGCAATTGAAGCCAAAACAGCCGGGCATGCATGGCGTTGGTCGTATGAGCTCTGACCTTGTCAACCACTTTAAGTCATGACACGCTGGCTTGGCGTTCAGGTTGCAAATGGAAATTACTTATTCAAAGTGAATTGTGATGATCATTCCTGTAATATATTACATTTATGCACCTGTGCTGGCATTAGTAATAAACCTTTATTGGCCTGTTAGAAGTTCATTAGTCATTATCAGTTAAAGTGTTTTATTTGTTTAATAATTGTTATGGCATCTTTATATGAGGAGTGATTAATTTGTTATCATAATGTGACCGTTAATCCTATTTCTATTCAAAATTTGATTTAAATTTAAGTTTTAGAAATCAAAGCTGGCATACACTGTTATTACACAGTTATCTTTTTTTAACTCGCAGTGCCATTAAAGCAGAAAAGGACTGTCTAAGCTCACTGGCCCTTAGTAGCAGGTCACGACTGGCATACAACCTGATCAAGTTGATTGGCATTACTATGAGCACGGCGGAGGAGAGTGTGGAGTTGCTACCCATCAGTACAGTGTTGCCTTGGATGCTACTGCACTCCCTCATTGATTAGTACGTTCACAGACAGAGTGAGACAGAGAGATGGACAGCGACGGAGAGGGGGAGAGGGAGAGTGAGAGAGAGAGAGAGATGGAGAGAGGGAGGGAGATTGAAGAGAGGCGGGAGATTGAGAGGACGAGAGCTGAGATAGAGTAGGCTGGGAGGATGAGTGTAGAGAGGAGAGCAGCGGGAGACGGCTGAGTCGAGCGAGATTCGAGATAGAGGAGAGAATGAGAAAGAGAGAGAGATAGGAGACGAGAGAGAAGAGAGAGACGCAGAGGTGGGAGGAGAGGCGACGTGCAGATACAGGAAGAGGAAAAAAGAAACAAATAGTGCTAGGAAGAAGCAATGAAGGTGGGCTAAAGTAGAGTGTGCAAGAAAATGGGTACATATATTCCTAATGGGTGTCGTGTATATTATATGTAAGTATGAATAATATGTGGAAATACCATTTATATATATTCTGATCATTATGATATATTTTCCTGCCTTATTTCAATCAAATTTCATGCCGCACCACCGAAATATTATATATACATATATATATATATATCAAAAGTACATAATAGGAGTACATAATCTCCCATTATGTACTCTTGATATATATATAAATAATATGTTTACTATTTCTTGTCAACTACTATGGCATATTTTGTTGTTTCATCTAGTGAAGAGAGAGTGGGCTGTCGAGCAGAGGCTGAAAAGGAACGAATAAAAAAATCTATTCTGTTGCTGCAGACTACTCATGAACACTGTGGACGGTAAGTACGCCACTTCTGACTATTTATTAGTTTTGTTATTTACCTTTACTGCCTTACTTTCTTGTACACATATATAGATAATGTATGTAGACACTGTGGGTTCCTATATATTATTACTGATATATAGGTATAGGTATATATATATATATTGTATTATCAAGACTTCATTTATTTTGGCGCACTTATGTGATCTAATTGGATTGAATTCAGGAAAGGTTGGTGCACTCACTCCGAGGGGGCATTGCTGCTTCTCTTTATTAATGTGCTGAACAAGGAGCTAGGCCAAGACAAGCCAGCTAAGAAGAAGTCGGTTAGGAATGAGCTAAGAGAGATGGCCGAGCAATGCATATACTGTCTGTATGGCCATCCTAGCAAGAAATCCAAAGCAAGACATTTAGAGGACCATGGAGGGAAGCAGGTAGGTGTTGACTTGCTTTCAAGAGGCACATAAAGTGCCTATGATTAGTTTTACTAATTCTTCTAAGAACAGCTAAGAATCATGTAATGCATAAGAAGCATTGCATAATAGTGCCTAATAGGACATGTGGTATATTATAACTTTAGTATTAGTATTGTAGGTAAATATGAATACCTGTCATTTAAACATGTAATGCGCAAATAAAAATATTTACCAGGCATGTCATTTCTTTCAGGTGATAGGTAGTTTGTTAGTAGCTGGCTGTTTGGCTTGGCTAGGTTAGAACACTTGGTCTGATCTATGTGCTGTGTATAAAATCTTGCAGCTGACGCTGACATGGAAAAGAGCTTCATCCGTGTTCAGGTTCTTCAGACCAGAATTCTTGTCTGAGTTTGACAGCATCAAGAGTGATACTATACTGCCTGAGGTGATTCATGTTTACGTGCAACTAACATTCACAGTGTATCTATGAGTTTTTTTGCTACTTAAGATATATCTTATGTGAAAAGGTTGTATTGAAATGTGGTATGTGCGAAGTTTTGAGACCGTTTTGAGAGCTCAGAAATGTAATTAAAATTACTGGTAATAATACTGCCTATGGCATTCATGAAAAGTGTGACGTGTAAGATTTCTTTTAAATTTCAATTTTTCCACCAGTTATGTTCGTGATCAGCAGTAATGTTTACCCTATTTTTGTGTGCTGTATTCTCTTATGGGTTACAACAGAAATGCTTGTCTTCCACGACCAGGTGGAGGAGCTGATCAAACGCATCTTGGCGCTGATTCCCAGTAGTGTGTGGAACCCAGCCAGCCACATCGATGAGGTGGTGGCCTACATAGATGGAACCCAGGAGCAGCTGCCCCAGCCGCCTAGCAACCTGTCAACTGACACAGAGTAACTCACACTTAATCATTCTCTGTCTTACACTGCTGGTCAAATTTCCCCATTCATAAATCGCGTGTTGATTGAGGATTTTAGACTCGTTGCTGCTTGCGTGATCATTATTGTGCTACTGTAATGACGTCATGTTGATAAATAGTTGTGGATGTTTTTACATTGAAACCTAGTCCCTGATTATATTTCTTATATACATATGTGTATAGTAATAATCTTCTTTTAGTTTATAAATATCTCTTTGTGTACTTTGCAGGTACATTCTGAGTAACATATTCTACATGTTGGCTGATTACTACTTCAAGAGCAACGAGTCTGGAGACGCGATTAAGTTCTACATGCACGACATTTGCATGAATCCGGACAGGTTTGATTCATGGGCAGGCATGGCCCTCGCTCACAGCAGCAGACTGGAAGAAAAACTGTATTCGGTACAGTTATCCCATTGCAACCACTCGTTTAATTACAGTGCTTGAAATAAGAAAAAAAAACCAGACACCAAATCAGGTTGTCTGCAACAATTTCTGGTTGTCCCCAAAAAAAAACCCCTAAATCTCCTATTTTCAATCACATAATAATAATGGTCAGAAAACACCCAAAAACATACTGTAGGAGAGATATCTTTAAATTTATTTTATTTCAACCTGTAAACTTAATACTTTGCATGAATCAGGACGGTCATGGGGAGACCAATGAGAAGCCGGGAAACAACACTAGCTATGGACGCAATGCAGGCCGATCGACACCCAAAATAAATTCAATTCGCGGTCAGAAAAATATAAATAAAGGGCGTTTTTGGTCACATTTTTCTTGGTTGTCAACCGGACAATGTCTCAGACTGGTTAGGTTGTCCGGCGCAAATTCTGGTTGTCTCGGACAACCGGACAACGCTTATTTAGAGCACTGAATTACATAGACACAAGATATGCTAATAAAGTTATCTCAGTTAGATCCAAATTAAGTTAAAAATAACTTACACTGACGAAATTTTCGTCCATCTCTCCGATAGACCTGAGATCAGAACCTCAGGTCTGATGTTTCCAGGTAGATGGCAGCTTTGGATCTAACTGAGATAAACTTTATTAGCATGTGAACTATAGAGATCCGATGAAATTATTCAATCATAGACACAAGATATCTGTCGGTATTAGCTATACATATATACATATATTAGTTTTAGAGGCCTCTATTTATGGTATTAAATATCTTAATTGTTTATAAGTTAGCTCTTACTCTAGTAACCAATCTTTCCTGATATGATCTCATTTTAAGTTACCTGTTAAAAAAAATTTTTTATTGCAATAAAAAAGTGCTAGAAAAAAGGCAAATGCTGACACATATGTATTCCTATTCAGAATTGCCCCGTTCATATTTTTAACCAATAAATTAGAACGTTGGTTTGCAGGCAGAGCTAAAGCATGACAATTCCATCCTGAAGCAAGCGAAATCGACATTGCGATGTTTCCAGAAGGCACTGTTAAATGACAGCAGTAACTCATCTCTCTGGATTGAAAATGGTTCGATTGCATATCAGGTGCAATCCTATATATCCTGTCAACTGAAACTGGTAAGAATGTGATAAAATTGTCAACACGGATTCATATATACATATTAAACATCTCTAGTTTATACCTTTCTAAAAGTGATCTGTCTAAAATGATTTGAGAAACCTTATTTATTAAAAATAACTATAATTATTATTGGTTGCCTTGCAGCTGTCAAATTCATAGTCAAGTTCAGTGTGATGAGTCAAGAATGCACGCACCTTTCATAATTGCACTAGCAAGCAAATTTGAGTTTTTGGATTGTGGGTTTTGTTCTTTTGCAAGCAAATCACACGTTTTCTTGTTTAAAATCATCACCAAATGCACATTTGCAGACTCACTGGGGCGCGAAGAATCGAACGTCAGCACGGGCCCTGCAGGACAGCAGGAGGAAGTGGTTGAGGACTGCGGAAACCTGCTACCAGGGGGCGCAGCGATGCGAAGCTACAGACGAACGATGGCTGCCTCATTACATGCTTGGCAAAATTGCCGAAAAGCAGCATGCTGCGCCCAGTGCGTATTTGCAGCATTACAAGAAGGTAAGTGCTCACGGACTCGCACGAATCTTAATAAGGCATGTGCATGTAAATCCATGTTTTCTATATGTTTCTCATTTTCGCCACTGTGATGGCACAGGGTATATCATCGTCTATCGCTTACATCATCTGTTAGTGTTGTCAGTTAAATGTGTATGAGTTAGCAGAAAATCCTATTTCTATTTATCACATGTTATGATGCAGGGTGCGAAATTAACGCGAGTCTGGAGTCAAACACTCCCTGATTTACTGTCGGACTCCGTGATTTGACATATGCAGGAGTCCATGTGACTCCCTGAAAATTCTGTTATACAAATTAGTAGTAGTTCGTTCCAGAGGAAGGCCTCGTGGAATTACCCTATTTTTTCAGCAAATGTCCAAAGAAAATTTGGCAGACGTGCATGGCAATATTCTTCAAAACAAGCACATGTGTTATTGCTGCTATGCTTTAGTTTTGAACTTCAGACTGCGGACTCCCTCATTTTGCTACGGACTCCCTCTTTTTGAGGGCAGGGAGTCCATTGGACTTCCCTTGTTCAAAAGTTAATTTCTACCCCTGATGATGTATATAGTTTTACATTATTCAGATGTATATCATTCTAACACACAGGCAGCTGAGTACCTGCATGAGACTGGGGCAACTTATCCAAAGAAAATCCACTATTACAACCCTACCTATCTTGCTGCGGAAGCATTAGAGGTAAGATCATTGTGGCGCTGTTGAGCAAACGATTAGAATAATGGTTAGTCTGGTTATGTCAGGATAGAGCTAGCTAGAGGTATGAAGTGCTTGGTAAAAGGTTAGGCATGTATGTATAAGTTTAATGTGAAAGAAGACAGTAGACTTGTAACATTTTACCAATCTAATGATTTATCCATAAGAGTGCATGAGCTTATTTTCAAAGTTTCCAAGTCGTGTGGCATCTAGTTATGTTTCGACTTTCATTCTCTTCCATTGTACAGGTTTACTTTCGCATGCACACATCCATCCTGAAGTACTTGCACAGATGTGCACAAGGCATAGACTATAATCTGCTTCAGACATACATCACTGATGCTGCTAATTCACCATTTGCAAATAGGAGTGAAGGAATGAGAGGGTAAGATAAAGTACTGCCAAAACCGATGAGTGAAGGTGAACATAATGGTGGATAGTTTTCACCGAATGATATTAACTTTTTTTAGACCTATGATATATCATTAGTAATATGGCAATTCTTTAATCATAATCAACTGGTCACAGCTGCACATCACACGCCACTAGGCCATGACAAAATATGATTCGTAGGGGCGTTTTGGCATGCACTCATTCATAGTTTAGTCACCACGTGTTTACACGAACAGGCATGAACACCTGTGGAGATTAACTGATGATATTGGTTTTGCAGGTGGATGCATGAGGAGAGGGTTGCAAGTTCCGACTCTAGTGATGGCATTAAAGAGCCTCAGCCACCCATCAGCTCCACACGTCCAGTAGTCAGCCCTACGGATGACCTCACCTCGGATCTCCTCAGTAGCATCATGGACGTCGTCGCTGTCGTTGACCACCTGGTGGCAAGAACTTGTAACGACGGTGACTGGAATGATGAGTTTTGTGTCGATGATATCGTGACACAGGAGTCACGGAGCATTGCCGTGGCAACTGATGAACACAGTGCACAAGAAACATCAGACGATGTTACATTTCACACACAAACGAGTGTTGACGAGAGGAAAATTCTCAATGAGAAGACACCAGTCAAGGAGAAAATAACCGACGAAAAAAAGCTAGCGTCATCTACGCACGTCGATAGGCAAAACAGTCGCGACGACTCTGTGGAGGGTATGCGTTCACTCTGGAACAGCATCGGAGGGGAGAAGTCACCGATGACAGGTTCACTTTCTCAGAAAGGAGTTTTCTGCAGTCAGCAGTCGTCTGTCAAGGAGGAGCAGCAGACGTATAACGCATGTTCCCAGCTGCTGCAGGAGCTTGTCAACAAAGTCTGCCAAGGTTATTAGAATGTTATCATTATTGGTATTCCTGAGTGTTGAATAGTAACGATAATCAGATTCTGTACTCTCGTGCTCATTTGTAATTGTGTAAGAACGTGGTAGAACGGGATGCAGTTGGTCGATGCTGATGTACTATCTCTCATCTTGAACATTGTTGTTTGACCTTGCAGGTGAGATTAAGGGTGTGAGCAAGAGACGAGGCCTTCACAATCACGACAGAGTGCGCCACATCGATCTCATACGCCAGTGCATGCATGGGCTGGCACTCTGCCTCTCTCGCTTCCCTCATCACTACAAGTCGCTTTATCGGCTAGGTTACCTCTACCTGCACTCACCTTATGTCAAGGTTAGTTGCAGTTTTACCTGCATTTGTGGTGCCTATGCTAGTTGTGCTATCTACTTCGTCAAGTTTTGCATAGCAAGGCATGATCGGTAGCATTGTTCACATTGAGGCTTGTAAAGAAAGCATTCAGGATACATAAATGGTTTTGTAGACCATGTTTTATATCCAGTTGTATTGGAATTGCTGTTGAAATGCTGACCAATGTTATTTGCTTTTTAATGTACATGTGGCTTGAATCATTTAGAAAATATTACGACTGAGGGTGTTGCAGTCAGGTGAATGATCTTTTGCTGAGGGTTTTGCTATTGCTATTGTATTGTTAGGGAAATGGCTGATTCCGTCCTTCTTCGTGTTGTTCATAGAATGTACGCCACAGTAAAGACGTGTTACTAGGGCCAGACATTGGGTCATCATGGCAACAGCTGAAGCATATGCCATCTCCTGCTCTGTTTCAAGAGAGAAAACACAGCAACTTCTTCAACGTGAGTGTTCTTTTCTCTATCTCTACATTACATACAATTTTCTGGTGTCAACGAACAGCTAAACACCATTACAGTGCTCACAACTAGGCACACACAAGCCTTTCTTGTGAAAATTTCGTTTAATTAGTTTATGCTAATATGTTTAAGCATTTGCGAAAATAAAGTCACAATTAAATGAGATAGATTTCGTGAAGATACCGTATATAAACGACGACGACGACTATATCAAACGTGTCAGTGGTAATTTTTCACCCTGTGATGGTTGCCTATAGGGGATATGGCGCATTCCTGTGGATGAGATCAACAGGAGTGGCAGCTTCGCTACACATATGTACCGATCGGTGATGCTGCTGATGGCAGTACTGCGAGAGCAGAGGGACTACAGCCAAATGTACAGCATCAGTGTCCAGCTTAGCCGCATACCGGATCCTGGAAAGTAAGTAACTGTACCAAGCTCACAGTAATGTACCATAGATCCATAGATAGATCCTGAGAAATAACCCTGCCAGTAATTTGGTCTGTATCTTATTAAATAAATATCCCTATCCTTGGCAGTTTTCTCTTGTCTTCTGGTTGTCCACGTACACGTATACATATATACTATGTAGTCAATTGGGCATGTGTTATGAATTTAGATTACTATATTAGGAATAAAATTAAGTGCTAACAACTCAAGCCTAATCACAACCAAAAATATCCAGGCATGCACTGCCATGCCACGTATATCTGATCACGTGACTGTTTAGCTTCTCTTGTCGTAACTGGCTATTGTCGCGTTTTACTGCATTGTATATTGTGTACTCGGTATACATTATTAGACGCTTATTATCCTTAACACACACTCAGATTAACTTATGTGTTTACTACTGAATGTACTTGACTGAAGATTCACATCGGGTTTTAGCTCGCCTTGACATCGTCAAGATGAGCTATTGCCATGGGGTGTCGTCCGTCGTCTGTCCGTGCGACCGTCCGTCAACATTTGGCTACGGTCAACGATAACTCAAGAACCGTTTAACCCACATGTTTCAAATTGCATACAGTTGTTACTCCTATGGGAGAGATTTGAACGTCCTATTTTGGCACGCCAGTTGACCTACTTTCAAGCTACGCCCACTTTTTGGCAAAAATGAAAATGGCCATCTAAATTCATTCGATTTTGTTAAATTTTGGTATGTGAATGTGTAAGGCTAGCCCCAAAACAGTTGTTACTCCTATGGGAGAGATGACAACGTTCTATTACGTTTATTTCGGCTAACTGGTTAACAACTCTACAATCATACCTATATACGTGTAATATTGTGTTTTAGATTCTTCGATACAGTAATTTGACTGGAATATTTTATTGTTTTTATTTGCGCGATATTCGAAAATCAAGATGGCGATCATTTAGGCGTAGCACCATCTCTCGTCAAGATTTCAGACTTTCAGATCTGAAACATTTATTTTCACATCAAAACTTATGCATATATATCATTATCAAGAGTATATAATCGGAGATATGCTATATAATGGCAGTTCTCCCATATATTTATATACTCTTGCTTTATATATCCCCCCTCCCTCTTCTACCACAACCCAAGGTGAGCTACAGTGTCATTGACACTTTCATTTCCTCCTGGTTTTACTCACTTTATTTGTAGCCTTACACAGTGGTTAGTTATAGTTTAACTCATTTCCAGGAAATATGTGCGGGATGTGGATCGTGAGTTCCTAGCCGAAGAGACTTTCAGTGTTTGTATTGAGGTAATTTTAATACTTTATTTAGTATATTGGAATGCATGTTGTACGAATAGCACTAATTGCATTCGTGTACCATCTCTCGTACCATATAGGTGCATAAATGATAATCATATTGTACAGTAGCTACTTAAATAATGCCTGGTACATGTTGTACGAAGCTATCACGCAACACAGACACTAATAAGTTACAACAGGGACTTAGATTGTGCTTTATGGATGTATTCTACCTATTCACAGATCATAAGATATGTCGCAGGAAAGATGAAGGGACAGGACATGCGTTTGATTCAGACTTTCCTAAAAGACGTATATCGCATATGGATGCATGGACACAAGCTACCTGGTGCTAACACCAAGGCAGTAAACAGTGCATTCATCAAGGCCTATCAACTTGTCCGCTCAGATAAGGTACTGCAGTGTGCAACCAGTCCAGTATAATAAAGAATAATACATTCTTGTCGCAGCTGCTCTCAGATACAAAAAGAATCACACTTTTTCTGTTGATATATTGTTGTTATCATTGAGTTAGCAATTAAGCGGTTGTTTGTGTTTTAATTCGCTATTGTGGCAATGGGTAGCTGTGAGAAAGTAACTGGTAATTATGCACTAGAGACAGTAAAAACAGCTAAGTGATAGCAAATTTTACACCATCAAATTCCAAGAACAAGTTTATGACTTTTACTATTTACATATAATGATATTATTTACATATAATGATATTATGTATTATGTGCTCATTCACAGCTTGCTGATATTCAAATGTGAATTTAGGTGTTTTCTACATGTATTTTTATATTTATTCAATTGTGTTCTAGATAACTGTTAATGAAATAGTTTTGGATCAAGCTGTGAAATTCTGTCAGCAGATATCTACCAGGCTTGCACAAGTAAGAAAACTAGTTGACCTGTAAATCGACCTAGTTGACCTATAATCGAAACTAGTTGACCTATAAATATACATATATCGTGTCTTTTACAATTCAGTCAGTTTATCTGTTATTAGTTAAATTAGCCGCACACACTTATATCTCATTTATATTGATTGTACTTATTCAATAATTATTAGCTCAGCTGATGAAGTCAGATGCAGCTTGTAGAATTGTATGATTGTTTGTGCGTTCGTGCGTCCGTCCGTGCATCTGTCAACAGTTGGGCACAAATCTTAACCGCTCGACGTACGGTTTTGATATTCGGGACGCTGGGGGAGGGATCGCGAAAAGGACTCGGGATGTCGAGTTTGGGGGGGCAAGGGTCAAAGGTCGAGATGTGTCAATGGAGGGGGAATATTTCCCCCTTAACTTAAGGTATAGGAGGAAATACGGAATTGCGGCACAAATCTCAACAGCTCGACCTACGCTCTTAATATTCGGTGTATAGTGTGATGGGGAGTAATCCCATCACCAGTGCGAAATTGGAG